TACTGTCCTCACAACACAGCTACTGTTCTTCGAAATCCCAGAATATCCGGATATTCCTCGGGACCATATCCGGATATGCCATATCCGGATCTCTCACTGTACATATCCGGATATGCAATATCCGGATATCCAGAATCCCATATCCGGATATCTATTATCCGGATACTCAAAACCCATATCCGGATATTCATCGGGCACATATCCGGATATTTCACGACAGAATGCAGAAAATGCATTTCGTGAAGATATCCTTCCAAGGTTCCATTTTTAACACTTACTTACGTTAAAGCATGCATCTTTATACTGATTAAGGTCCACACCCCAGTTGGTTACTTAATTAACCCTTTAAACATGCAAAGATCACACCTTTAATCCATTAAAACACAAGCTCAAGGTAGGTACAACTCACCAAAGCTCAAAACAGAGGTTGGAGGTGCTCTTGGAGCTCACAACCAGCTCCCAAACTCTGACTTGGAGGAGTGCACAAAAATGCACAACAAGGTGGTTCCTTTCTTCCCAAAGATGACCACTTGGAGCTTCAACAACCAGGAACAAAACCTCTACACTCCAACCTACTAACTCAGCCCCCTCACAAGCCCAACACAGCCACCAACACTCAGAAAGAGACCAACAAAGCAGTCTTAAAGCTAGCACTCACCCTCACCAAGTGTTTAGAAAGAAGGAACAAGCATCAAAGGTGATAACTTGGCCAAGAAATGAAGGGAAGAGCAATGGGGCACTATTCTGGTCAGCCTCCACCAACACTCACGCTGAAAATTCTGTTTTCTAGGGCTATGTGCCCTTAAAATGGGTATTTATAGCCCAAGCCACTTAAACACACAGTATTAACTTTAATTGCTACGCTTAGCATTTTAATCCCAAACTTTGGATTATGAAACTACATAATTTTCTAAGATTTATCATATTTTTCTTATAATTTTCTGAGCACTTTTCCGGTACGCGCTTTTCCAAGCCAGTACCGGTTTCTAGTACCAGTTCTCATTATCTTGACTTGAAACACGTTTTACAAGTCCTACATATTATTCTAGTAATTATCATGCACTTATTATAATTTTTCGGGATACTTTTTCGGCACGCATTTATACCGACTAGCAGAACCGGTATCTGCACTTTTCTTCCGAAAAGCGACTTTCAGCATTATTACTCACTCACTATAATTATTAAAGCCTCATAATAATTATTAGGGTCAATTATGGAATCATTTCCTATTTTCTCGTAATTAATTAATTAAATACCTTAATTAACGGTGCGAGTTCTTATAATACATATGTCATTTGTTTAATTTTCTGCATATAGCATAAATTTATGGAGCTTAGTTTGATATTATCGTGATATATTTGGTGTGATAGGACACTGTATTTTTGGGTTATTTCACTTGTTACAGTTCTGAAAAATTCTGTGTTGGTTGTTAAAGTGGAGTAATTGTGTGTTGTAAATCTGTCCTAGGTGTGTGGGTGCAACTGAGTGGGTTGACAACCTTGTGCTTGGCTTGAGAGTGTGTCTCAAGGCCTGGAGCATCAAGAATACACTAGGGAGAGAGGAGGTCTTGTGTGAGAGGAGTTGGTGAACTCCGTAGGTTTGGCTTGAGGTATTCTTAGAGCTTGGAGTAGTATAGGCACCAGAAAGATTTTTGATATTTTGTTTGATTGCTTGTGTGACGCGTTTTTGTAAAACAAGTACACTTGTAATAAATAAAATATCTGCAGTAACTTCAGTCTGGACGTAGCACCCTATTTAGGCTTAGTGGGTGTGAACCAGGATATATCGTGTGTCTCGTCTCTCTGATTTAATTTTTGAATATTCTATTTTTGAGACAAAAAGTAACACCGCTTCTGGGTTGTTATTGTTTTTGCTGTAGCAATTTTTTGTTATACTTTTAGAGTGCTGTAGCACCTTACTGGTTCTGATATAATTGTTGTATCACTTAAACTGTATTCTGGTACTTGGAAATTAATCATTTTCTGTTTTAAGTAAGAAAGCTAGTTGCTGCGTTTGCTCTGTAAAATAAAAGGTCAGGTACATTTTCTATTGATATACATCATATAGAAATCATTTTGGGCATATAGGGATCTAAGGTAAAATTAGTAAAATTGTTATATCTGTGTGACTGTTATATGGACTGAACTTACAAAATAAATTGATAACTGTCAATCTTATTGAGTTGGTTTGGAGATTGAGCTTAATTGTTCAACCTTGTCTAGACTTTACAGATTTAAGGATCTACTAAGAAAAAGTTTTTAAAAAATTTGGAAACATCTATTCATCCCCCCTCTAGGAGTTCTCCCGCATCCTCCTATAAAGAACCCACTTGCCTAACAAGTGGTATCAGAGCCTCGTGCTCTGAGTGATTGGCCATTGCCAAAGAGTTAAAGATCCTATGGCTTCTTTCCATCATGATATTTCTCTTGAGGGTGGTTCCAACCATCGCCCTCCGTTTTTCAATGGGATTGATTATCCCTACTGGAAAACAAGGATGCAGATTTTCCTTGAGTCTGTAGATCTTAAAATTTGGTATAGTGTAGAGGAAGGATATCAACCTCCAATTAGACTAGATGACAATGGTAAAAGTGTGCTTAAAAAATACACAGAGTTCACTAGAGAAGAATTAGAGAGCCCAATACAACTCAAAAGCAAAGAACTTAATAGTTAAAGCACTTGGTAAGGACGAATACTACCGAGTATCTTCATGTAAGACCGCACGTGAGATGTGGCTCATTTTGGAAACAACCCATGAAGGTACTAGTGAAGTAAAACGTTCTAAACAAAATGCATTATCTAGAGAGTTTGAGCTCTTTGAGATGTATGAGGGTGAATCTATATTTGACATGCAAAAACGTTTCATGCATATAGTCTATGAAGCACCGATATGCGTTTTCGATACGTTATTCGATATACAGGATGTAGATTATCAAACAATACGTTTTCGATACGCGTATCCGATACGTTGGAAAAAAAATTTAAGGAGTATCGGTGCTTCTTAGCATATAGTTACATCAATGAATGCTTTAAATATTTTTCATGATGATGAACTGTTACTTAACAAAATTCTAAGATGTCTTACTAAGGAATGAGATGCAAAGGCTTCGGCAATCTATGAAGCTAAAGATCTCTCCACAATGTCATTGCTACTTTATTTGGAAAGCTTAATTGTTCAACTTTGTCTAGACTTTACAGATTTAAGGATCTGCTAAGAAAAAGTTTTTTAAAAAAATTGGAAACACCTATTCACCCCCCTCTAGGTGTTCTCCCCTCCCGCATCCTCCTGTAAAGAAGTCACTTGCCCAACAATAGCCCGTATCTTAAGTCCTATATGTTGTTTTCCTCCTTTACTAATTCTTATTATTTGAATTTTAAAATGATGACTATTAAGCACGTTAATCAACTAATAAGTGATCTCGAATTTGAATCTAAAATAAACATATAACAGCTGTGAAGACTCAAGAAAGGCAGAAAAGAAAATAGAAAAATAAAAGTGTGTTTTATTATTTTTAGTTAATGTGTTTTTATTAATAATTATAAAAAATATTTTTATTTTATTTCCTGTTTTCAAAGTTTTAATTAAAAAAAATTCAAACTACCAAATACATCAAAGAAAACAATGTAGAAACTATTGTTGGTTGGTAATATGTGAGCTACATTAAGGGCATGGATGGACGATACTTCAAAAGAAAGTTTAATACAAACAACGAACATAACAAAGACTTTAAATTTTGTAGTAGTTATTTTTTTTTGGAAATATTACAATCGTTTCATCGCTTCGCGACTAATCCAATTCGAGGCGAATCTAGTATTAAGATTTTAAACCTTTTCCAAAAGTGTATTGGGGGAGATTGAATATATACTCTTATCTCCATCTATTTAAATCTCATGCGACAACTGAACTACCACAAATTGGTTGTACTAGTTATTAGTTGGGGGAAATTCGTTAACATAGTTACATGACTCAAAATGACACTGAAATTCCGCTGCTTTTTCTTCTGAAATTTGCTTTTCTAAACTTAAGAATTAGCTTGGAAAATTCTTTTCTAAGAGTCCAAGTATAATCAATATCATTCTAAAAGTAATAAATCAATATGAGAGTTAAAATTGTGTTTTATGCATCTCATACTCAAATATCATATAAATATTCATATATCAACCGTCTCATTATTGCAATTAAATCCCCATAGGGTAGTTCCTAAATTATACACATTTGTAATATATATTTTTATTTTTTTAGTCTTCGAAATCTTAAAGCGGTCAAGAATGATAAAAGTAAAGGTATCATCATACAAGAACAAGATAATGTCAACATGTTTGATAAATAAAATGATATTGCTAACAAAAATGATAAGGAAAAAAGACCTCAGATTGTTGAACAAGAAATAGGAAATGAGTCAAATGACTACACTAATGAAGAGGATTATGAATTAATTATGTCACTGATAGTGATAATATTAGTCTTAATGATTGATAAGTACGAGAATAACTGATTTGCACTTCAGTTACTTATGTATTTTGCTGATTTGATCCTTTTTAAATTTGAATTTATATGATATTAAGTAGGGTTCACTTTTTTTTTACAGTCAATGTAGATAAGTTATCTACATTGAGCCCACAACGATATCGTTTTGAGGCAAAAATCAAGGTATTTTTGTAATTATAATTTATTCCAGGGTTATAATAGTCTTTTTCATTATATTTTTTAATTTTCAACCCAAAACGACGTTGTTTTGGGAGTGAATGTAGATGACTTATCTACATTCACTGTAGAAATATTAAAGCCTATTAAGTATATTATATATTTTTAAATTATTTTTTATTATATTTTTGTATCTTACAATTTGATATGATACACTATACAAAAAACTAGCCAAACGATACACGATAAATTTGAATTTATATTTTTGTATTGCAATTCAACAACCTTGTTAAAATCTATAAAATACCATAAATTAAATATAATACTTCCATTCAAGAAAAAAAAAGTCTTAATTCAAGCAATATCTTAAAAAATTAGTAGAACGAAGATTTTTACTAGGAAAAAAATTCAATTCAAGACATATCTTAAGGCATTGAATTTATAAATCCATCTACTTATGTGAATTTTATTTAACTCATTATCAATTAATGTAAGACTCATCATACTTGAATATCCTAATAAAAATATTAACACTATATTTCTTTAATGAATGGATTATCTTGCCAATATCTTTAGTACAACCAAACATTCCCATAAAAATAATAATAGGACGAATACAAAAATAAATAAATAATAATAATAGGACAAAAATGAGGGAATAGGATTTGTGCAAAAACCCATGATGTTGGGTGGGTTGATGAGAAAGGTATTATAGTTGTTTTGAACAAATTGTCGCCCCAACATCTTTTCCTTTGTGAATACGAGTCTTTTTTTAAAGTCTGTGTTTTTTTAAATAATATAAGTTGTGTCGTTTTAATTTTTTATACTATGTACTACGAGTAGTACATAGTTAAAATATGAAAAGTTATCTTTTTATACTACTGGTAGTGCGTATTGTTAAAAATTAAAATTAAAAGTACACAACTTGTGTAAAGGACAAATCTTTTTCTCTTTTTTTAATCTCCAAATAAATTTTTTTAACTCTTCTGATCAGGACGGAATGGGCGTATAAATGCAGAATTCATCTGCCAAATCTTGAGTGAGGCAGTGACAGTGGCCTCAGTAGCATTGTTGAACAAGAACAATCTAGCAGCCCCGTAGATTGCCTTTGTTGGATAAACCCTAGATGTCACACACGTCCTTCCACCTTGAGCAAAGCTTTCAACTATAGAATGGTCCACCTAAATTATAATAACCAGACATTAAGTGAAGATTGAAGTTCATTATACTTATTATGTATAATGTGCACAAGATATGTACTCATTTAAGCAAGAAAACCACAGAAAATTGAAAGACTCAACTTACCAGTATTCTTAAGGACAACTTTTCACCTTCAAGTACTGGAACTACGCTCCCATAGATTTGTTTATGAACATCCGTTGCCAAAGAAGACCTACAAAAAACAATATCACAAATTCAAAATTGAATTTATCAGAAAATAATGTTATTTATTCTGTGTTTTATAACCAATCAAAGAAAACACACACAAGTTCAACAAAAATAGATAGTCAAATACCTTGATTGATCAGAACAGAAGGAAGTCTTAAGATCTCCATTGCTTCCTTTAATGACATAAAAGTACACAGGAGTATATTCAGAGAGTCCATCATCTGCCAAAACCAGAAGACCAAAAGGTCCCAAGGCACCACGTTGTGCAGCTCCACCACTGTTGCTGCACTTGTACTCCACTTTGGACTGAGCTATTTTCTCCAGGGCTTCTTTGTCTATCTCAAACTCAGCAACAATGTCCAGCTGTTGCATTGAATTGGCAGATATAATGTCATGTAATTGAAGTTTGCTTTTACTCATGTCTAGCTAGATGTCTCTGAATTACAACTTTAGAAATTTGATAACATGAACACAAACCTGTGTAGCTGTTTCAATATCTAGTGACAACACTGACCCTGGCTTTGCCTTCAGATTTTTAAATTCGTTGCTTCTCAATCTCAAACTCTCCACCTCCACAACAGGCCACTGAATTAAGTTGCTGCCAGTCTTCTGATCAAGATTCACTGTTCTTGGAATACCCTGTACAATTAAAATTTAACAGCTAATAGAGTTAGAAATCAGATGGACACATTGAAAAGAAAAAAAGGACAAAAAAAAGAACAAAAAAGGTTGTATATGTAAATTTATATACCTGAACTGATGCCCAACCTTTGGTCACATCAGCGTATTCGCTGTCAGACTCTCCAATCCAACCCCACAACACTCTTCTTCCCTTATTTTGATCAAAAAATGTCTTGGATGCATAGAATATACCATAGTCATACCTCAGTCCAATACCAACATCGTTCTTAAAATCATCTGGTATGAACTTAATCTTTTTCTCATCATAAGTCCCTAATGCATAGTAATCATGTCTATCGTCATCCAAGCTCACCTTCACCACATGCTTCACCTCAGCCCCATTAACAGAGGTATCCAAGCCATTTTCATGCTTCTTAGATACAGGGAAGAAGTCCACACACTCCCACATGCCAGTGCCTGGGACAGCATGAAGCATTTCCTCCTTAAGCTCGTAGGTCTTGAAGTCCTCGGTGTCATAAACCAAGGCAATGCCAGTTTTGTTAAGCTTAGACCCAATGGTCATGCGCCACTTTCCTTCAGAGGTTAACCAAGCAGTGGTTGGGTCACGGAAGTCTTTGGAGCCAATGCCTGGTGGTGGGAACAGAACTGGGTTCCCAGGGTATTTGATCCAGTCCACAAGGAGAGGATCAGAGGTGTCTGCAGGATATGCAAGGTTCTGCACTTGCACTGACTCATTGGTGGAACCAGTATATAACATGATTATTTGACCATCGGGTAAGATGGTGGCAGAGCCAGTCCACACACCCTTCACGTCATACCATTCATCAGCTACCATTGCCAGTGGAAGGTGAAGCCAATGGATCATTTCCCTTGACACAGCATGTCCCCAAACTATGTCACCCCAAACTGCACCATTCGGATTGTACTGGTAGAAAAAATGATACCATCCCTTGTAGTACATAGGACCTAAAATACATAAATTTAAACAACCATGTCAGGAAGGTGCTGACTGATGACTACCTAAATAATATTTTGAAATGAGATAGAACATGTAATTTGACCAAAGCGAAACTGAGCCAGCTCTGCTTATGATTTTGCTCAATAATTTTGTGGGGCTGACTTAATTTCTAGCATTTTATTGCTAAAACAAAATTCATGGTGTCGACATCAAATTTAACTGTTATAGGCCCCATCCAGCTATACACGGTTCCTAGTATTTGAATGCCATTATGTTTATAGGAGTAAACTCAACCAAAAAATGAGCAAATTAAAAGAAAATTAGCAAACCAGATGAGTCAGTGCAAATTAGGATCTGAAGCAAACATTAAACAAGGGGAAAAGTTAAAAGGGCCCTTACCATTAGGATCTGAAGCAAACCAAGCAAACCAGATTCCACCATCAATTCAAGCCAGAGTCACCCCAACAAAACAAAAAAAGAGAGAGGAAAGAATTAGCTTGAGATAAAAGAGAAAAAACGGTATTGGTAATACACCACACTACTTGTCATGAACATTCATAAGCGATCACAATTTGTCTTTCAATTTCAATTAAAAGAAATCATCCCGGCAAGACTGTATTTGACCCTATAAAAAGAGCTTAATAAAATATTAAATAATGAAGCTAACATTTTTTTTTTATTTTGGCTAAACATTGTTAAAGATACCTTTTTCACTTTTGATTATCTTCCTTTTTGTTCACTATAGCCAAAGGATACTTTTCCAACTAAAGCATGACGAAATTCCTAGAGAACCTTTTTCATTAAAATAAAATATCCTATATTAATCTGTTCTTTAAATCTCATTATCCCTAAACCTCTCTAGAAAGGAAAAAACAAAACAAAACAATTCATCACTAAAAATTAATAATACCGTTCATCCAGTTCTTCTCTGGCTGAAAATGAAAAGCAGTTCTCTGCCACATTAACATACTGTTGCTCCAAGGATATGATTCCGGTTCTCCATTTTCACCGGCGAGAAACATGTTGGACTTCTCCGACACCCCCGCCAAACCACCCCGTGAAACCGGGTGCCATGTTTTGGAAGGTACCGTTTGTGTGTTCTGTTCTTCTTCATCAGGTGTCGACAATGACACGTCAGCATGAGGACCATGTACGTTGGAGGCCCTGTAGCCAGCAAAGGCGACGACGGAAAGAAGTAACAGCAACCCACAAACGACGAGAAGAAGATCATTTGATTTTTTGTTGCGAGGGTGGGGCCCATCGGGGAGGGAAGTGTAAGAAGATGGAAGAATGAGAGATTCATCAACAGAGGAAGAAGGGTCATGGAAAAACGCCTTGTGACTTTCCCCCATACTTTGATGGAAAATATTCGATGTAGTATATGACTGAGTGTTATGTGTGTGTGTGGGGCTGGGAAGTGAAAAAGGAGAAGATTGGATTGGCGAAAATCACATGGAAAGTGTACAAAACAGTGTGAGATGACGATGCTTTTGCCACATTGGCATATTTATAAGGCCAAACGCCCACTGTCTGGAGAGATCATGATTCATGAAGTATGAACCATTGGAAAGGTGGGGCTCTGAGTACGAGACATCACATGAATAATTGGAGTTGGTGGTCCCACAATTTTCTAATTCAATGATTTCTGACACTGTTTTATTGTTTCCTAAAATAACTTCATATTTAATTCGGAATAAATCTTTGATAATTAAACGTACCCAACTCATTATATCTTTTTTTTTAAAAGAAGAATTTTTTTTAATGTGATAAGAAAAAAAAATTTAAAAGTTATGAATTTTTTTCAAATATAAAGAAAAGATGTATCGAGATGAACAAAAAATTGGAACAGTGATCTGTTCATCAACTTTTTTACCTAAATGCTACGCGAACGGTCTTATTTCCCAATCTGTCACGGGGCGAGTTCGCTACCCAGTGTAGCGAACTCAGTTTACTGACGTGTCACGTTTCTAGTAGACACCAAGTTCGCTATACGGGGTAGCGAACTTGATTTTAACCAAGTTCGCTACCCTATGTAGCGACCTTCAAACTTTTTTTTTTTAATTTGGTACTTGTTATCCAATAGAAATGTGACAAGTCAGCAAATCGAGTTCGCTACATCGGGTAACGAACTTGCTCCCATGGCAGATTGAAAAATAAGACTGTTCGCGTGGTATTTAAGTAAAAAAGTTGGTAAAGTAGCACTTTGGTTACTGTCCCCAAAAAATTTATCCTTTAATTAGATAATTGGAAATATCTTTGTTGTATGAGATATCCTATTCGATATTTTTTTTTTCATATTTTCCTCTGTAATCAATTTTTTTTTTCATATTTGGAAAATTCTTTTCACCACTTTTGAAAACAAATTTCCCGTGACATTAAAAAAATTACTTTTAAAAAAGAATATATCGAGTTAAATATATCTGATCGACCGAAATTTTATTCGGATAATTGAGCCTCGGGTAATCTTCACAATTACCGAGTCATTAGAAAACATTTTACTATTTTATTATTATTTTTAAATAAAAATTTAGGATTATACGAATCGCTGTTCCATCTCAACATCAGAACAGATTCGCAAATCTCAACGAAGATTTATTGGGTATTACAGGTAACTTCAAATAGATATATATAGTAAAATTGACTTATATAGACTATATTTACTAAAAAAAATAACTTATAAACAAAAAATATCATTAAAGATGTTTAAAATAGTTAAAATTATTCCATCATTTCAAATACATGCAATGTTCATGAACACTAATACAATTAATTATATGAAACTATTAATTCTTGAATACAATCTCTCTGTTATAGTGAACAAAATTAAAGTTAATCTTAATTATCTTTTAAGTAGTCTGAGTTTTTCTTCGATTGTGTTCTAAATAATTAAAAATTAATAATTTAATTAATGAAATCTTGACTTTAGAAAAGAGATAACTCTCCCTCCTAAACTTTTATTATTCATGTAAAAAAAAGAATTAATTGATTTTATTTATGAATCAATTCTCATATTTCAAATAGATTATAATTTTTTTTAAGGCAGCTGTTCATTAGCCTCTTATAAATTCTGCCAGTGCACGTAGGCCAATGGCAGTAACCTCCCTATATATCAGGCAATCTCAATTCTGCTTTCAATTATTGTTGCATCTAGATCATGTTATCATCGTTATGTTGCTCATTATTCATTATACTATGCTAAGTACAAACTCATTGTTTACTTGTGAGTTGTGACACCACTTTATGAGTTTAAAACATCACCGTCTGATCTAACTCTAATTTATTCCTGCATTGCCAAAGTAGGATTTTACACCGAAAGCCAACAATTTAATGAAAAATTAACGTTAATTAAATAAGTATAAATCACAGTATATTTTCTGACACTAACAGATTTTTTTTTTTTTTTTTTTTGTAATAACACTAACAGATTCTACATATTACTTGCAAATGCATAATTCAAATAACTTCTATGTATAAAAAACAGTGTTTAAACATTGACTCGGTCGAAGTGAGGGGTCGAGGGGTCATTTCACTGCTGATCTGATTTTATACATTAAGAAAATATAAATATATATCCTATATAAAAAATTCAAAAAAATAAAACCATCAATAATTAAAGATTCAAAATATACTTAATATATTTCAACAAATTACATTCACAAGTCAATATTTACAAGCTAATTAAAGTATCAAACTATCGAAGTATAAAAACACATATTCCAATAAAGTTAATAAAAAGTTATATCATCAAACTCAGGCCCTTCTTGTCCTTCTCATGTACCTATAACAGTATGTGAAAGGAGATCCCTTACCCAATAGAGAATAGCCGAGGAGAGGCGGCAGCACGACAAATTAATGGTGGACAGAGAAGAATCAGCACAGGGGAGGAGATTACCATATTAGGGAGACTGAGTCTGGTTATGGGAGAGAAGAGCAGAAGAGAAGAAGAAGAAGAACAATTCAGATTCCAGATCTAGTTCTAAATCTAGACAACAACAATTTTTTGTTTTTGTTTTTTTATATGCCAAACGACGTCATTTCGTATATAATTTTTTTCAACAAAAAAAATGCAATGACCCTTTTACCCTTCTAACCCAGGAGTTACGGGTTCAACCAGTGAGTTTCGGGAGTTAGAGCGATCAACATACAAGTAAGGTCTAACTATTAATCTGAACTCTCAGAAAAAAAAAGTCAGTGACTCGGTGAGGTTGACCCCAGGTGGGGTTTTAAAATCCTAAACCCTAAACTAAATATTTTTATGCCTTACTTATTTTAGAAGTATTTTTTTACAAAAGCTAAAGTTATTTAGGATTTTGAAAAATATTTGATTTTTGAAAAAAATTATTTGACTTTTGACTTCTGCTTTTTTAAAAATTAAAATTTTTAACTTCTGAAAAAGTAGATTTTTAATTTTTTTTTTTATGGCTTATGTTTTTTTAAAAAAGTAGACATCCAAGATCTTTACTTTTTTTTTCCTTATTTACCTTTTTTAGTCAGCACCAACATCAATAAATTATAATCGCAATTGACATCCACTCTTTTTCTCACCTCCTAAATAAGTAAAGTAGGGATAAAAAAATATACACGTAATATCCTAAATTTTTTAATAAGAATTATCTTAAGGCAATAATGCTACGGGTCACTACTCACTAGGACAGTCATGGCAATAATGTTAGGTGCTAACGTGTATCGGTAGTCCTGAAAAGCAAGAAATAATAGCCATAGCCCATAGGAACCGTAGTAATCATGGGCCATGTATATCCCAAATTCTTCCAACACATAAAATGAGTTTGAAAGCAGAAAGAACACATGCTTATAGAATAGTAACAGTTCAACTAATAAATAAGAAGTAATGTTTCAATTTTGCCTATCGATTAAAGAGCACCGCCGCTATAGCACGGAGCCACGTCGCGTGTGTGTTCGGCGAGGTGAGGTTTAGAGTTTATTAATTAGTAGTAATAGTCTGCATTATTTTCACTAAACAATGGTCAATTATTAATTTTCTTTGTTCGACAATCAGTTTCCATATGATTGTAGTTGATGAATTGGTGACAAGTGTAACTCGTTACTGAGTCAGATGGGCCCCGTTACATTTAAACTGCATACAATAATGCAAATGCCAAGTGCCAGCAAACATTGCCGTGGCTATTTATATACCAAATATTTTGTGTCAGTTTAAAATCATCTTTAAATGATGATGATATTATTATAGGTGTTCGTGGTCTGGATTGGATCAGTTTTGGAAATAAAAATCATCCAATCCAATTCCTTCGATTTGATCATATAATCATTTATTCGGTTTAGATTTTTCTTCAAATCCGATCCGATCCAATCTAATTTTTTTTCGATTTTGATTGGATCGGTTTTCGGTTTTTTGAAAATCTTAAAATTTGTTTCATAATTTTTGTGCAAATAACATATTTTGTTTATATTAGCTTTGTATTTTTTTTTTGAAATACAAAAGCGTCAGTAGACGATAATATAATTTTTGTTTTTGGAAATGGTGAGATATGAAGCTCTACACACATGAAATTTTGTTGATAAGATGTGACTAAGTTTTTTCTTGGATTTAGTTGATAGGTTAATGGGTCTTGGATTTAAAAATTTTTGGGCTATGATTGAGGAAAGACCCAAGTAGGTAGAGGAGAATTAATATATTGGATTGATTTGGATTGAATCAGTTTTCATCAACCAATCCGAAGATCGATCCAATTCAATTAAATTTGCGGTTTTTTTTTCGATTTTTGATTTATTCGGTTATCAATTTTTTGGTTCAATCACCGCGATTTGAATCGATTGATGAATACCCATAGATATTACGACGTACATGGTCCAAAAATTTCTATTTTTATTGTCTTGGCGAGTTGTGTGGCTGGCATTATTTCTTCCCGCGTCTCCCCTTCAATAATGTTTCATTATTTGAAAACGAAAGAAAACAAATCAAAGCCAGAAATGAGCTACATAACATTCTAAGTGAAGATGTGATGATATGCCCTTACCTAGCTTTTTATAGTGCATGTTTCCACATGCAGCGCCGCGTTGTATTGCAGATCCACATGCCCCTGATCTGAGATTACCATCCGATATAATTATATTCTTCAATAATTTGATGCAACGAATGACTAGTTTAGTTCTCATATGATATGTCTCCCTCCTACACCGAGCAAGCTAATCACAACAATTTTATGAGCACATAACTTGTCTGTTCCTGTTTAATTTAAGGGGCACTGTCCACTGTGGGACACTACAATCAAATTAACTATGCGTGGACACTGGACCTAGATCAAACTGCAAAGATCCAGAGGTAGTAACTAGTAACTAAATCAAAGAAGAGTGACGGTATAAAAAACATGAAATAATGCATATTTTTTGGGTTTAAATTTGATTTATTATAAATGATGTGCTGCCACACATCATTAAAAAGTAATAAATTTTTAAACATTAGTTATAATAATCAAAAAAATT